AGCCGCTCGGCCACGCCCCTCACGGCGCTCTGGCCCCGCCCCACCGCGAACTGGCCGAACAGGGACAGGGACAGGAGACCCCTCCAGAGGGGGAGGGGCAGCACCCGCCGGGACCCCCGGAGCAGCTGAGGGGGGGGGAGGGACAAGGGGGGTCACCCTCGGGGACCCCCGGACCCAGAGAGTGACCCCATAGAGACCCCCGGACCCATAGAGACCCCCCCGGACCCAGAGAGTGACCCCATAGACCCCCGGACCCAGAGAGTGACCCCATAGACCCCCGGACCCATAGAGACCCCCCTGGACCCATAGAGTGACCCCATAGAGACCCCCGGACCCATAGAGACCCCTCTGACCCCATAGAGACCCCTGGACCCATAGAGTGACCCCATAGACCCCCAGACCCCATAGAGACCCCAATGACCCCATAGAGACCCCCTGACTCATGGAGTGACCCCATAGAGACCCCTGGACCCATAGAGACCACCCTGACCCCATAAAGACCCCAATGACCCCATAGAGACCCCCTGACCCATAGATTGACCCTATAGAGACCCCTGGACCCATAGAAACCACCCGGACCCTATAGAGACCCCATAGAGACCCCCTGGACCCCATAGAGACCTCCTTGAACTCATAGAGACCCCCGACCCATAGATTGACCCCATAGAGACCCCCAGACCCATAGAGACCCCCCTAACCCCATAGAGACCCCCTGACCCATAGAGTGACCCCATAGATTCCCTCCTGCCCCATGGATCCACCCCATAAATCCTTCTCGGCCCCACAGATCCTTTCCCTGCCCCATAGATCTGCCCCACAAGCTCCTCCCTATCCATGGGGCAGGTGAGGGATCTACGGGGTGGATCTATGGGGCAGGTGGGGGATCTGTGGGGCGCAAAGGGATTTCTGGGATGGGGGAATCTATGGGGCAGATCTCGGGGTCAGGGGGGGTCTCTCTGGGGGGTCTCTGTGGGTCAGGGGGGTCTCTGTGGGGTCTCAGCAGATCTATGGGGTCTCTGTAGGTCAGGGTGGATCTATGGGGTCTCTGAGGGGTCGGGGGGGTCTCGGGGGAGTCTCTGGGGGTCAGGGGGGTCTCTGGGGGGTCTCAGTGGATCTATGGGGTGTCTATAGGTCAGGGTGGATCTATGGGGGTCTCTGAGGCTGGGGGGGGGTCTCTGTGGGTCAGGGGGTTCTCTATGGGGGTCTCTGGGGGTCAGGGGGGGTCTCTGGGATCTCTGTGGATCTCTGGGGTGTCTGTAGGTCAGGGTGGATCTATGGGAGTCTCTGAAGGGTCAGAGAGATCTCTGTGGGGTCTCTGTGGGGTCTCTGTGGGTCTATGGGGTGTCCGTAGGTCAGGGTGGATCTATGGGGGTCTCTGAGGGGTCGGGGGGTTCCCTGGGGGTCTCTGGGGGGTCAGGGGGTCTCTGAGGGGTCAGGGGTTTCCCTGGGGGTCTCTGGGGGGTCAGGGGGGTCCCTGGGGGTCTCTGGGGGGCGAGGGGGTCTCACCATCTCCGCGTTGTCCACCAGCCAGGGGTGGGCACAAAGCCGCAGCACCAGCAGGGCCCGCACCAGCTCCCACCCCCCCAGTGCCCTCAGCGCCCGCCCCTCCCTCATCCGCACCGCCAGGGACCCCCCCGGGGACCCCTCCCCACCTGGAGACCCCCCCGGCCCCATAGAGACCCCCCTGGATCCCCCCAGCCCCATAGAGAACCCCCCGGGTCCCCCGGGCCCCATAGAGATCCCCCTGGATCCCCCCAGCCCCATAGAGATCCCTCCGGGTCCCCCCAGCCCCATAGAGACCCCCATGGACCCCCCCAGCCCCATAGAGACCCCTCCAGATCCTCCTGGCCCTATAGAGATCCCCCTGGACACAGCCAGTCCCATAGAGACCCCTGGGGTTCCCCCCCTACCCCCTACTCTATGGGTCCCTGGACCCATAGAGACCCCCCTGGGTCCCCCCTGCCCCATAGAGACCCCCCTGGACCCCCCCTGCCCCATAGAGACCCCCCTGGACACGCCCAGCCCCACAGAGAACCCCCTGGACCCCCCCTGCCCCATCGCAGTGCCAGGGGGATAAATGCACCCCTCCTTCTCCCCCTCTTCTGGGTCACTAATTAACAATGGGGTTAATTAGTGAGGGATTCTGGGGGAGGGGGCGCCCCTCCCTGACCCTCGTCAATGATTAACGAGGTTTAATGGGTAATTAATGGATTTAGGAAAGTGGGGGAAGAGCCGGTACGGGGGTTGGGGGGGGGGGGGGGGGGGGTGGCGGGGCGGGGGGGGAGGGGGGGGGGGGGGGGGGGGCTGCGGGCCTGGGTGGGGGTGTGGGTAGGTTATGGGGGCAGGGGGCATCCTGCTCACCCCTCCCTTGTTGCTCATTAATGAGATTTAATTAATTAATTAATGGTTTTAATTGAATGGATAAGAGTTTTATAAAAACAGGGCGGGTTATGGGGCAGACGGAGCCCGCACGAGGGACAAAATGGGGGGAAACCCTGAGTGGACAAAATGGTGGCAAATCATGAGGGGACAAAATGGTGGCAAATCATGAGGGGACAAAATGGGAGAAAGTGTGAGGGGAGAAAACGGGAAATTGTGAGGGGATAAAATGGGGGAAATTGTGAGGGGACAAAATGGGGGGAAATCATGAACGGACAAAAAGGGGGAAATTGTGAGAGGATAAAATGGTGGGAAAACCTGAGGGGACAAAATGGAGGGAAACTGTGAGGGGAGAAAATGGGGGGAAATGGTGAGGGGAGAAAATGGCGGCAAATCATGAGGGGATAAAATGGCAGGAAAACCTGAGGGGACAAATTGGAGGGAAAGTGTGAGGGGAGAAAATGGGAGAAAATGTGAGGGGAGAAAATGGAGGGAAATTGTGAGGGAAAAAAATGGTAAAAAAACCTGAGGAGAGAAAATGGCGGGAAACTGTGAGGGGACAAAATGGAGGGAAAGTGTGAGGGGAGAAAATGGGGGGAAGTGGTGAGGGGACAAAATGGTGGCAAATCGTGATGGGATAAAATTGGGAAGAAACTGTGAGGGCACAAAATGGAGGAAAATTGAGAGGGAAGAAAATGGGGGAAATTGCGAGGAGAGAAAATGGAGGAAAATTGTGAGGAGAGAAAATGGAGGGAAATCATGAAGAGACAAAATGGTGAAAAAACCCGAGAGGAGAAAATGGTGGGAAACTGTGAGGGGACAAAACGGGGGGAAAACCCGAGGGGACAAAATGGAGGAAAATCGTGAGGGGAGAAAATGGGGGGAAACTGCAGAAGGAGAAAACGGTGGGAAACAGTGAGGGGACAAAATGGCAGGAAACTTAAAGGGACAAAATGGGAGAAAATGTGAGGGGACAAAATGGGGGAAAACGTGAGGGGACAAAATGGTGGCAAATCACGAGCGGATAAAATGGCGGCAAAACCTGAGAGGACAAAATGGAGGGAAACTGTGAGGGGACAAAATGGGGGAAATTGTGAAAAAACAAAATGGGGGCAAAACCTGAGGGGACAAAATGGAGGGAAACTGTGAGGGGACAAAATGGGGTCACTTATGGGGCGGGGAAGGGTTTTGGGGTCACTTACGGGGCAGCCCCTCCCCTACCGCTCATTAATTAACTACCACACCTCGTTAACGACCCGTTTATTGATTTTCAGCCGCAGCGGGACGTGATGTGGGGCAGATGAGGGACCTGTGGGGCAGGTAAGTGATCTATGGGGCAGGTGATGGATCTATGGGGCAGGTAAGGGGTCTGTGGGGCAGGTGAGGCCTCCATGGGGCAGGTGATGGTTCTATGAGACAGGTAAGAGACCTGTGGGACAGGTGAGGCCTCTATGGGGCAGGTGATGGTTCTGTGGGGCAGGTGAGTGCTCTGTGGGGCAGGTGAGGGCTCTCTGGGGCAGGTGGGCCCCGCCGCGGGCCAGGTGTGGGTCAGTAGTTGCCGCGCTCCTGCCGGAAGCCACCTCGTCTCAGGTACCCGTCGCCCTTGCGGTACCCGCCGTCCTTCTGGTCTGCGGGGCGGAACCGGACAGGTGAGCAGGGGGTGGGGCCAGGTGTGTCCCAGGTGTGTGCCAGGTGTGCCCAGGTGTGTGTTGGGTGTGCCCAAGTGTATGAGGTGTGCTCCAGGTGTGTGCCCAGGTGTGGCCCAGGTGTGCCCGGGTGTGGGTCTGGTGTCCCCAAGTGTGGCCCAGGTGTGCCCAGGTGCCCCCCAGGTGTATCCCAGAGAGATCCCACATACCCCAGGTGTGCCCAGGTGTATCCCAGGTGTGCCCAGGTGTATCCCACATACACCCCACATACCCCAGGTGT